TCTTATTTTAATGGATAGAAATATTGAAATTGCAGTAACAAAAATATGAAAGGAGCCCTTGAAAAAGTTTTCCATGTGTCGTTAACAAAATTACGTTTTGTTCTCGGTAAATTAGATATAGATTTAGACGTTCGCCGTTAAATCTTTTCTCACCATTCTGTTTGAATATCCGTCACATTTAATGAAAGATTCTAAGCAACTAGATAAGTAATGTGTTGTGTGAGTGTTATATATCTGTTTTAAGTTTTAATATGTTGTAACGAGATTGTGGATACATAAATGAAAATTAATAACTTTTGGTTTACGAAAAACTTGTCATTGGCAATTTCCTTTGTGTATCATCCACCTTGACGTATATTGAAGTGACAGTTTTATCAATAATTTTGCTAAGTGTACACCGAGGTGTGAAACTCAGTGTAAAAAGAGCAAACCCCTACTTTTGTAGTACTTGCGGAGGAATATCCTAGGAGTCAGTACTCACCTACCTCCTTATTCTGTGGCTGCTTGAGGGTGAGAAGTCATTATTAACTAGAAAATTCTGCTTATTCATGTTTTACACGCTGTCTTTTTCTAATTTTTTTTTATCATTTTCTAGACCAAGACGTTAAGCTTTCAATAATAAATAAAATGTCTATTTTAAAGTCTTCTGCTAATTGATTGGATTGAAAAATGCAGTGATTGGATCATCTGTCTTTGTTGATGACAAAGGAAAACTGCTAAATGTGACCATTGACAAGTCAAGATGAACTAGCTAAATTGATTAATTTTGATTTTAAATTTGATCAATGGCAACTTTGGTTAATGGGCATCTTTTATTGAGCAAGCATGTTACGTGAATAGGCTCGTTGACAGAATTTTTTACACATATACACTTGATGAAATTTCATTGATAGTCGAAAAAGAGTTAAACAAAAAGTTGGCAATTTTTCATATATCAGCCACAAGGTTGGTGACGGTAACCTTTCTTCATTCAATACTGTAACAACGAATAGTTTCGAAAAGAAATCTATTGATTCTCCTTTAATTAATTAATTAATTTTAAGAACGATAAGTTACTTTATGGATAGAGTTCTACTTCTCAAGTACGTGAAAACTCAATTTCACCAAGAACTATAACTCAGGATATAAGATATAAAAAAGTTAATGATGACTAAAAGAGAAAAAATCAATATGCCATAAAAGACATCTCAAGACAAATGATTAAGTCAAGTTCCTGTATGAACCACATTAAAATTTTCATTTTCATTCTTCTACTCATTTTCGATCACATTTTTCAATAAAATAATATTTTTCATCACATCAATAATTTTTTCTTATTTTTCAAACACACATTCTCCATCAATTTACTATTCCAAAATATATTCTTTTAAAATAATGTGGCTCAAATATACCCGTCTTTAAGATTAAAATAAGAATTGATTAAGCACATATTTATTTCATTACGTTTAAATAATAAGAAAATATGCCATCTGATTTTGGAAAAGTTCATTTCTAAAAAACAATGATAACTTGTTGAATTTAGATAAATACATTTTATTCAAAACTTGTTTGGTAGAGATTAAAATTGGATTAAATTTGAAAAACTAGCCGTTATTGTTGACTTTTATTAGACGAGTGAGACTCAATAACTACTATTTTCAATTTTAATTGGATTAAAATTGCTCCAAACAAGTTCTCAAATTGATTTTTAAAAGTTGACCTGACACGAGTCTTAGTTATCACACTATTTTTAAATTACATTTTTCTCTCTTTTTTTTACCACGATTTTCAATAACATAATATTATACGCAAATCAAAAACTTTTTCTTATTTATTAACCACACATTCTACATCAAGTCGCTATTTCAAAATGCAATCAAATTTTTAAGTACATCACTGTACAAAGTTTTAAATTACAAATCCAAGAAAACTAACACTCAAAAAATAAATTTAATAATAATAATCTCCAGAAAGAAAATGACAAAAAAGAGAGAGATTAAAAATGTTCTATTAGATTCAGCTGTGTTTACGCTCAATTATCTAAAAATTTATTTTTTAATGAGGGTCCGTTTGATTAGTTTAAATTCCATAGAAAATGTCACATTCGAAAAATTCAATTTTTACTTTGATAGTTTGATATGAAAATGGTAATGAAGTTCGAATTCCAAAAT